TGCAACTTACCTGGCTGCTTCTTCCTCCTCGTGACCCAACTGAGGGCTGCTGGGAGCAAGGGGCAGGGCTTGTTGCATGTGCCCGCCTCCTTGGCTCCTTATTGCCGGAGCTCCGCTCCTGTACGCTTCCACAGGCAATGACCCCTGCCCAGGATTAAATTTTGTTAGTCTTAAAGGTGCCCCTGGACCCAAACTTTGTTCTTACATCTGTTTGTTAACTCTTTTATTATCTGTATGCTAATTTGCTGCTACTCACAGGTCTCACCAACTGCTTCAATCCAATCGTAGCTATACTTATCGCTCAGCTACTTATGCAGCTTGACTCTGATTAGCCCTCCCTGGCAACTAGACCCCGCCCACACCTATATGTAGTGGTTGCGGAAGTTTTGTTTCAATGTATTTGAAGAAGGGTGCCTGCACACGAAAGCTTATGCCCAGAATAAAGCTTTGTTGGTCTCAAAAACTGAGGTAGTATGTCATCGGCTGCCCTATGAAAGGGGGGCAGGTTAAACCCTGGCAGAAGTTATAGACAGCATAGTGGGAGACCGCGCTACCGGGATAGCTGCCCACCAAAGTTGGGTGGTTGTTCCCATCTTGGTCGATTAATATAGCACTGTGTTATAGGGTGGTTTTATCATGGTTTTAAATGTGTATTTTATTGTATGTCCTATTGTATTTTATATTCTGGCTTTGCCGCCTGTGAACCGCCCTGAGCCTTTGGGAGGGCGGGATAGAAATCAAATAAATAAATAAATGAATAAGTGCCCCTGGACTCAGACTTCGTGCTGCTGCTTCAGATCAACACGGCTTCCCCACCTGAATCTATCAGCATGGCTAATCACAATTGGCGGAGCTCTCCTATATGAATTTGTCTAATCCCTTAAAATGATCTAAGCCAGTGTCCCCAGCCACGTCTCAGGGTGGCAAAGTCCACAGGTTATGGATTGTATGAAGCAGGGGTCATTTCGTAGAAAAAGAGGTGCAGGAGCTCATTGGCATAACTCATTGGCATAACTCATTTGCATATACCACACCCCCTGACATCATTGGAAGTGTGTCAGAAGGCAACACCCACCGCTCAGGCTCCACTGGACTGTTTTGGATTGCTAGCTATTGGGCGGGGGGGAACGTGCAGATCTGTCCTTGCAGAGGAGGGAGAGCTTGTACCTGAATAAAACTTGGTCTTAAAGGTGCCACTGGACTGTTTTGGGCCGGGGGGAGCTCTGCAACTTACCTGGCTGCTTCTTGCTCTGACTGAGGGCTGCTGGGAGAAGGGGGTGGGGCTTGTTGCATGTGCCCGCCCCCTGGGCTCTTTACTGCCGGAGCTCCGCTCCTGTGCACTCCTGCAGGAAATGACCCCTGGTATGAAGTATTCTGTCATATCCTGTAGAATACAGAACCTGGCTCTCATGTGGATCTATAGACCAAGAGAATGGGGCCAGGTTCAGCCCCCGCTCTGAATACCCTCCGGGCCCCCAGCAGGGGTCAGTCACCAGAGGTCGCCATGAATTCCAGGTGCACACACACTCACATGCTCACACAGACACACATGCACATATTTAAAAACTACAAAAAAAATGAAGAAGACCAGCAATGAGCAAAGGCTTCACATAACTTGAGAACTTTCCTACTACAGTTTCTAGGGTCGCTGACCTCCAGGTAAGGGCCTGGAGATCTCCCAGAATTACTGCCCAGGTCGCCTGGAGAAAATGGCCGCTTTGGAGGGTGGAGTCTGTGGCATTGCACCCTGCTGAGGCCCCTCCCCTTTCCAAACCCCGCCCTCCCTAGGCTCCACCTTCACATCTCCCGGCACTTCCCAGCCCAGAGCTACCAAAGAACCCCAAAGTTTCAAAGTCAGAGTTTTCAATGAAGACACAAGCCTTGTTTTATAAACAGAAATCATTCTTTTCGGCAACTAAATTCTGAAGAATCAGAGACGGCCTTTGCACCTGTTGATTCAGAGCTGGATCTGTACAAAAGTAACTAAGGAAACGACACTTTCGGGCCTCAGATTTTGAGGGGCTTGTCAACACAAAACAAATTATTAAAAATTCTTAAATTACCATTCCCCCCCCAGTAATGCTTCCGGGCCTCTCAACACAGTGTAGAGCTTCTGCAATAGGGTTGCCAACGTCCAGGTGGTGGCTGGAGATCACCTTCTAATACAACTGATCTCCAGGTGACAGAGATCAGTTCACCTGAAGGAAACGGCTGCTTTGTAAACTGGATTCTACGCCCCAAACCCTGCCCTCCTCATACTCCACCCCCAAAATCTCCAGGTATCTCCCCCACCCGGAGCTGGCAACCCTATTTTGCAAGACCTAGACATTAAATCATTTCAACCTTGGGGCTGAAAAAACGTCATTTCCTAGCACAGAACGATGTCATCATCAGCCTTGAGTGATTCACTGTAGCCGTGGTCATGAAAGTCTGGGCAGAGAAAAGAGCCGCAATGCGGGTACATTACATACTTTGTGCCTGGTGGAAGCAGCCACCTTGCCACATCCCTGGGCCGGCACTTTTCAAAATGTTTACTCAAGGATTGCCATAAAGCACAGGCTATTGAACTGTGGATGCAATCCACGTTGATTTCGACTGGGCCTTATCTGCATCATATAATCATGAGCCCCGGGCACGGGACTCAAAAGGGACAAGAGAGAGAGAGAGAGCAATAAAGATTCGGTCATTCCCGTCTCCACCTTCCATTAGTATTGGGAGGGAGTAGCCAAGCTGGGGTGGGGGGGAGTTAGGTAATGATTGTCATCCTGAAAGCTTGGTGTAGTCAAACGGGAAACCCTGCCTGTGATTGACAGCAGGGCTGCGGGGGCCCATCCCGTCTCTGTTGACAGTAATAATGAAGCTTTGTCAATCCCTAATGGACATGGAAATGCCAGATTACGCCGAGTCGCTCGACTCTTCGTACACCATGCTGGAGTTCGAAAACCTCCGGGTGCTACCCACAAACTCATCAGGTGAGAAGGTTCTTCTGCTTTTCCCCCCCTCCAATGAACTTCTTGTTACCTTTGCTCGAAAATTGCCCTTTCGGGTGGACAAGGTGGAGCTGGGTCGAAGGGTGGAAGGTATCATGGTTTGGGCCGGTGAACTTTTAGACTTCTTTAGACATTGACATTTATTGGGTGGGTTTTTTTAATACGATGGCCCAAGGCTTTGCAGATAAGGTGCTTCTGGTGAAGAAGTTACTGTCTTTATGGCTCCAAATTTGGTAATTTGACAAATGGAATTCACCCGGAAAGTCTGCATACCACCCTCCCCACAAGTCGCCATGACTGTGTTGACATCTCAACACAACAAAATGGTTCTCTACATCAATAGCTGTTTTATATCAAGCTAGGAAGCACCTGCTTTCCTGATCCTGTGTCTCAAGGAATATAGGAAATATTTTATATTCGGTAGTGTTGTCAACTCATGCTTCTGCATCGTTGGTAATTGAGATAGAATGGGATGTTATTTTTACAAGTTTCTTGGAACAGGCTTTTAACGGGGAATCAACAGCTTGGACTCAAAATCTCCATTCTCCATCACCACTTCTCATCGCCGGTCTTCAAGCTGTCTTCCTTGGAACAAGTAGCTTGTCAGCTTTTCTCATTCTTGTTTGCATATAACATAAGGACAAAACAGAAACCTTGACAAATAAAGAGAAGCTCTTTGTTTGTTTGTTTTTAATGCAACACCTAAGACTGGTTGGAGGTCAGGAAATCTGAGACAGTACCTTCCCTGCACGGTTTCTTCACTTTAGAGGAACAATTTCTCTTCACAATGTATATTTTGGCCCTCTGTGATGCTACTATTTCTGGGCAAAGAAAATGGCTACCTGCTTTCACTCAGAAGTTCACCTGTGGCTCCGATTCCCCCTCCCAGACAAATTTTTGAAGCGAATTCGGAGGTGTTCCTGCGAATTCTTGAATTCTGAAGTGAATTTTGAAGTGAATTCTTGAGTGAAACATCCCACAGATTTCGAGGCATGGGGTGGAAAGAATTTGAATAAGATTAATCACTTTCTCAGACAGGTTCTACACTGTGCTTATTTTGGGGGGAAAAGAAAAGGTGCCGGTACTCATACATAAAAGTGCAATGATTTCGCCCCCACTCAGGATTTTACCCCCTCTCTGCCCCTGCTCAGGACCTAGGAGGGACCCCCCAAAAAGGTGCTGGTATTCTGTACCAGTCAGTACTGTCACAAAAGGGTTTTGAATAGCGTTTTCCCTACCAAAATGAGAAGCAAAGAAAGACAGTAAGATTTAAAAAAATTCTCTTATAATGTTAAAATAACCCCATCTTTTCCTTCTCAGCCTGACGGCTAAGAGCAAGCACGTAAAATAATCCCGTCTATTATTTCATTTATCCCTGTAGAAATAACGTGCTCCATTTTCCTAAAGGTGAAGGCTATCTCAGGTTGGCATTGATCTATTTGCCGACGTGTTAATCAGTAAACCAGCCTGCTCAGGAACTAGCTGTTTTGAAATGGCCTTGTTTGTCTTGGGTAAGCATCCTCTTCGAAAAAGATTGTCAAAACAGCTTTTGGGCCGGGAGGGGGTCAAACCCAAAGCTTCCCAACCTGGACACGATTCATGAGCAAAGAGGTCCACCTGGTTCCCATCTGTCCACAGAGCTTTGCTAAATGTGACGTTAGAGAAACCACCGCCATTTTCTAGCATCTAGGGGTACGTGGCCCTGACATGGACGGCTCAAACTAGCATGAGTTCATCCGAAGCTAGGCAGGGGGCAGCCCTGGTTTATATTTGGGTGGTAGAGCACCAAGGATGTTCAGGGTTGCTATGCAGACACAGGTAACAGCAAGCCACATCTGAATGTCTGCTGCCTTGAAAACACAACAGGTTAACTTGCCCTGAGCCGGATAGGCCAGGTTGGTCTGATCTCATCAGATCTCAGAAACTAAGCAGGATTGGCCCTGGTTAGTGCTTGGATGGGAGATTACCAAGGAAGTCCGGGGCCGTTACACAGAGGGGGTGATAGCAAAC